TTGGCCTCATCACTCGCCATGAACACACACGCATTGACCACATCCTCCACCTCTCCAATTCTCCCCATGGGCACGTTCCCAATGAACTTGGTCCGGTTCTCAGGCGTGTCCGGCATGCCCGTGAACGCGGAGAAGAGCCCCGTGGCGGTCACAAGCGGGCAGATGGAGTTGACACGGATCTGATGAGCGCCGTACTCAGCAGCCAGGCCCTTGGTCGCCTAGTACTATTAGCACACCTCCACCTCGTGCGTTGTTCGCACAAGAAACTCACATTCCACACCGCGCCCTTGGACGCATTATACCACACCAGCCCGGGCCTCGGCCGCGTCGCGCCCACACTCGCAATGTTCACAATCACGCCGCCTTCCTTCCGGTCCAGTGCCTGTCCCACCCACGCCTGGCACCCCAGATACACACCCTTGACATTGACATCGAAGACCCTCTCGAACTCTTCGTCGGTGACATCGACGGTGGGCTTGTTGACGTACGACCAGCCCGCGTTGTTGACCAGGATATCGCAGCGGCCGAACTTGTCCTGGACGGCGGCCATGGTGGCCTCCCAGTCGGCGCGCTTCGTGACGTCCATCTTGTGGAAGGCGAGGTTCTGCGTGTCCTGCGCGGCGGTTGCCTGGCCGCCCTTTTCGTTGATGTCGCACACGAGCACTTTGCAGCCTTCGGCGGCGTAGCGGAGGGCTATGCCTGCGCCGAAGCCTGAGCCGGCGCCTGGGGGAGTTAGTGGGTGTGGAGATGGTGCGGGAGGGGTGGTACCGGTTACGATTGCGACTTTGCCGTCGAGTCTGCCCATTGTGGATTTGCGGGTGGTGTTGTGTTTGATGTAGTGTATCTAGGTATGGTGGGAAAGTAGACAGCAGCTATGGCGTGTAGTGCGGTGTTGTGAGAACTGGATTACACAGGAGCGACGATCAAGGAACCGAGCACCTCAAGCCGCAGCGGGCTTCTCTCCGCCGTGTGTCCTCGACAAGCCATTGATACCCAGCAGTTTACCAATCATGGTACTGCCGAGCCAAAGCCGGATCGCGGAGAAGAAGCACGATGAGGGGTAACAGGAGGTGCGCTGCCGTGGGTCACTGAGCGGTGGTGGTCGGCCAGAACGCACGCTGATTGGTCATCCTGCTGTGTCGGCTATAAGGAACGCAGGTGGGGGTGGGGGTGTCATTGATCCTTGAAGCCTCATAAGGGCGCGTTCCGATTGTCTTTCGAACTTTTACGCAAGTCGACTGTTGTTCATTGTAAAGATGGGTTCAGCACAGAAATACGAGCTTCCTTTCAAGGTGAGCACAAGTACCATCTCACAGGGCTAGGATCTGACTTGGCAGCTCAAAAACCCCGACCTTCTGCACAACCAGTCGTACGTTGGCGGCGAATGGGTGAATGCTAAGTCTGGGAAGACATTTCAAGTCGTTGGTCAGTCGCATCAGCAGCTCTGCTGTATCCTGGCTGACAACCTACAGACCCCGGGACCGGAAAGGCATGGATTGAATGCCCCACGAACGACGCATCCGACGTCGATGCTGCCGTCAAGAGCTCGCACGATGCGTTCCTCGAGTACAAGAAGATCAGCCCTCACCAAAGAGCGCAGTTCCTGTTCAAGTGGGACCAATTGATCCGTGAGAACAGGGAGGACATTGCAACGATCCTCGTGTACGAGACTGGAAAGCCTCGCTCCGAGGCGTACGGCGAGATTGACTACTCAACTGGCTTCACCTGGTGGTTTGCTGGAGAGGCAGAGCGCATTCAGGGCAGCGTTTTTACCCCTGCACTGCCGAACCGTCGCATCTTCACCATCAAGCAGCCGGCGGGTGTTGCTGCAGCTCTCGTCCCATGGAACTTCCCCATCGCTATGATTCTGCGCAAGGCAGGTGCAGCGCTGGCTGCGGGATGCACAATGATAGTCAAGCCTAGCCCAGAGACACCCATCACGGTCCTAGCCCTGGCTCACCTCGCGGTTCAGGCCGGCTTTCCCAAGGGAGCGCTGAACGTGCTGACTACAGATCTCGACAAGACGCCTGAGCTCAGTGAAGCGCTCTGTCGCCATCCGCTCATCGCCAAGGTCACATTTACTGGATCGACACGGGTGGGAAAGCTGGTTGCCAAGATCTGCGCGGACAATCTGAAGAAGGTGACGCTCGAGCTGGGTGGAAACTGTCCGGTCCTGATCTTCGACGATGCCAACATTGAGCAAGCAATATCCCAAATCTTTGCGTTGAAGTACCGCCACGCGGGCCAAGCCTGCATTACCGCGAATCGCATCTACGTTCAGTCCGGCATTTTCGACAAGTTTCTTGAGCGATGGAATGCCGAGACAGACAAGATCGTGGTTGGCCACGGCTCAGACGAGAAGACCACCATGGGCCCGGTAACGACACCCCGCGGTGCTCAAAAGGCGCTGGAGCTCGTCGAGGATGCGAAGAAGAAAGGCGCAAAGATCCACAAAGGCGGTAACAAGATCGAGAAGAATGGCGGGTACTTCTTCGAGCCGACTGTTATCACCGGCGTCACCCCAGATATGGACATTGCTAACGAGGAGGTGTTCTCGCCCATCTGCACCTTTATCAAGTTTGAGACGGAGGAAGAGGCGGTCAAGAAGGCAAACGATACTTCCATGGGCCTTGCATCCTACCTGTTCACCAAGAACGTGGACCGGATGTGGAGATTGTTCGAGAGCCTTGAGGCTGGCATGATCGGACTGAACACTGGTACGTTATAGATGTAAAGATGCTGCAGTATCCTGCTAACAGAAACAGGCAACTCGTCGGCTGCAGAGTCTCCGTTTGGAGGTATCAAGCAGAGTGGGTATGGAAAGGAGTCAGGCAAAGACGTGGCTGTCAACGAGTACCTAATTACAAAGACGGGCACTCTCACCCTGGAGGAGAATGCTTGATCAGGCAGCACTGCAGCTCTGAGGCGGTGTGTAAAATGAAACAAACGTTGGATGTGGTTCTGTGCCGTTTGACCTCATGCCTCAAGCTTAAGCTTACGTGACGGCGCTACTGAATCCAGGGTCGGCTGCACCATCAATCGGTGGCGGACCTTGGCTGAGCTCCCTCACCCCACACCTCACTCGTACACCAGCACTGCACACATTCACCGCCAACATGGATGTTGAAATGGGCGATGTCGCGTACGACATTGACATCGACGTCGGCGCAGGCGTGCAGACCAGCGCCCAGCCACAGCAACAAGTAGGTTGCGCCCGCCCTCGACGCGGTGCTGTACTGACATGCGCGCAGGCGGAACCCACCACACAAAGCGACTCGGTGCCGGCGGCCTACTTTGAAGACTTGCAGCCGCAGAAGCCCTGGCCCGAGTTCCTGAGCCTGCAGGGCGTGAGCGACTTCGACCCCAACGACCCTCTCTACTACGCCGTGGAAGTGCTCGGCACCGAGCCGCGCGTCAAGCAGCTCCGCTGGGTGAATGATGCATCGGTGAACCTCGAGTTTTACAGCGCCGAAGATGCAGCCCTTGCGCTGGTCGCCCTCACACACCCAGACACGAATCCAAACACAATCGCTGCGCAAACCGCGCGGCCGGCGAAGCCGTACTCGAAGAAGCCAGACAGCGCGTTGGTGGTACGCGAAAGCAACGCCGGGGACCAGAAGCCAAAGGGCGCGGCCAACCGCAGCAACTACTACCAGCGCAACCCCGACGTCCGAGGGAACACGCAGAGGGAGCCGCGACGCCGCCAGCCGCCGAAGAGGGACCTCCTCGACTACGGCGACGAGGACCAGGGTTCGAGGAATCGCAGGAGGCGAAGGTAAGGACTTGCCCGGGCTGTTATCTCCGTACTGACTGAGCAGTCGCAGTGGAGACGAGTCAATGGGCGAAGACTCTGGAGTCGAAAGGCGCAGGAACAACTACCCCCGCAACGACCGCAATGGCCGCGACCGCCGCGACGGGCGCGACAGGAGACCGAGGGACGCGGGCAGGCTCAACGCCGACGTCGACTCGTACCGGCCGGGCGGAGAGGGGTGAGACGTCTGACGACGATGAATTGACCACGCTAACGTCCCCAGGACCAACGAGTCGCGGCACGGTCGCCTCCGTGGCCGCAGTGCGTCGCCAGCGTCCAACGACGAGGGCGACGGCCGGTTCGGCTTCGCAGAAGACACCAGCAACGTGCGCACCCGCTACCGCAGCCGGAGCCGCAGCCGCAACGACCAGCGGCGGCGCCGCGAGCCGAGCGCAGACCGCTGGACGCACGACCGCGCCAACTACGGCGAGCGAGGCGCCAAGTCGGAAGCAGGGCGCTGGCAAAAGGACGCGTTCGTGGTCGACACATCGCCCATGGGCAACCACCGCCGGTCGGACGCCGGGTCCGGCGGATCGCTGCTCTCGCGCATGACCAAGGACGGCAAGCCGGTCAACTCGCTGGCCAGCCGGATGACGCGCGACGACGACGAGGCGCGGCCGCGGTCGCTCGCCAGCCGCGTCACGCGCAACGGCGACGACGGGTACGGGCGCCTCAAGGGCGACGACAGCATACCGCGCGACACGGAGTTTGACGAGGCGCCGCGGCGCGGGCTGGCGGACCGCATCTCGCGCGAGACCGAGGGCATCAACATCCGCGGCGCGGGCGCGAGTGGGATTCACATTCGTGGTGTGGCCAACGGGCTGGGCTAGGTGGTTTTTTATATTTCATAGAGAAGCCAACACCCTGGTTTGATTTGTGATTCTTAATCTCTAATTTGTGATTCTAATTTATGATTCTTGATCTCTGATTCGTGATCTTTGATTTAAGATTTGTGATTTCTGATTTCTGATTCGTGATTTCTGATTCGTGATTTCTGATTCGTGATTTCTGATCTCTAATTTCTAATTTCTGATTTCTGATTTGTTATGTCCAATTCCCAATTCCCACCCCCACCCCTCACCCACCCTCTCCCGCCCCACCCTCCACCAACCCCTCTTAACCCCCAATAAAACACAGAATATAAATCATCTAATCCTGGAAAAACACCAGAAGTCCGTACAATCCTCTGGTCTCCGTGGCGCAATGGTAGCGCGTTGGACTTCTACTACATTCTGGTTCTGGTGATCCAAAGGCTGCGGGTTCGAGCCCCGCCGGAGATGCTTTTTTTGGTTTTTTATGATGGGTTTGGGTAGATGAGTGGGTTTGGGTAGGTGAGTGGAAGGAGGGAGGGGTGTGATGGGATGTGATGGGATGGGATGGGATGGGATGGGATGGGAGGGTAGTAGATAGCAGCATGCACGACAGAGACACGTTTTGTTTTCAAAGGGTTTGTTGGGTAGGTTTGGTTTAGTATAGATGAAAGCATCTGTTTTGATACTCACATTCATCACCACATAGTCAGAATAGGCAGTCACACATCAGCAAATGTATCACAGCACACATCCATCATCCATCACTCGTCCATTCCATTCCACACCAGCCTACACTACACTACACACCCTGCCCATCATAGCACATGCGTCATCTCATCTCATCGCACATCCACCCCATTTACGCCGTCCACCCAAAAAAAAAGAAGAAACGCCCAGACCTAGTATAGTTATACGACCCAACCCGCCAACGCCGCCCAAACGCTCAATACAGAAAGACTGGTTTTAGAAGGAAAGGAATGATGAAGAGAGGGGGGGAGGGAGGGGACGGCCTGCGACCGCTCGGTGGTGGGTTGTGAGCGCGTGTTGAGTGTTTGTGACGACATATTTTACGACGACATATTTTATGACCGCGTGTTGTAGTGACTTGTGACGCCCATGAGTATGCCTAGAAGCGCGTGCGGTCGAGGCGCTCGACGCCGTCGGCAAACGAGCGCGTCAGGCCGACGCTGGCCCAGAAGTCGTCGGTGATGTCGCGGCGCGAGGTCAGGCGCTGGAGGAGGTTGCGGGCGTCGCGGAGCTCTTGGTCGGGGAGGGGGGGTGGGAAGGTGGAGTGCGAGGTGGAGTGCGAGGTGGAGTGGTGATTGCTGTCGTGGGTGCTGTCGTGGGGATTGCTGTCGTGGGGATTGCTGTCGCTGTCGTACTCCGTGTCGTGCTCGTCCGGGTCGTGAAAGGGCCAGAGCAGGCTGCGGGCGGCGCTGCGCACGAAACGGCGGGCTTCTCGGTCGGAGGCGGTCATGGTCCGCGGTGGGGTAGGCGGGGCGTCGGCAAAGTGGTTGGGGCGCATGCGGCGGCGGGCCAGCGGATGGGCGCCGTCGTCGGTGTCAGAGGCAGTGTCGTCGGCGTCGTCGACATCATCATCGGACTCGCAGGCGCGGGCGGGGATGGTGAGGTGTGTGCGCTCGCTGGCGGCCGAGTTGGGGTTGGAGTTGGAGCTGCTGGCGCGGGTGGAGCTGGCGGTGAAGCTGGCGCTCGCGGCGGCCGAGGCAAACGACGACTCGGCCGTGGGCGCGACGGGGTCCGGGACGACTGTGGCGAGGAACGTCTGCCAGGGCCGGTGCGAGGCCGTCGAGGACACGCTGTTGCTGCGGTCACGGTCGCCGAGGCCGTCGAGCGTCGGCACGGGCGACCAGGACCGGCGGAGGGCCGAAAGGGGCAGCGGGGCGACGGCGGTGGATGCAGCGTCGGGCGCGTCGTCCTGCGGGCTCTCCAGCGCCCGGACGAGCGACGGCAGCCTCGGCCTCCGCGCGTCGATGCGCTGTTGCGAGTAGGCCTCGTTGCGGCGCCGCAGCACGTCGAGCAGGCCGGCCATTTCGTCCTCGTCCGCCTCGTGCAGCCGGGGGCCGGCGGGCGCGAAGCCGGGCGTCAGCGCCGGCAGCTGCGTGCGTGTGTGCGAGAGGCGCGCCGCAGCAGTCGCCTGCTCGACGGCCCCGTTGTAGCGCACCGTCGACGCGTGCAGCAGGGCGTCCGTGTCAAAGGCACCCGGCGCGCTCCTCGCAGGCCTGCCTCCGCGCGCCCGCCGCCGCATGGGCGACCGGGTCCCGCTCATGTCGGCGCGCAGCACGTCCTTCTGCCGCGCCTCGTTGCGCATAATGTTCCAGCCGACGGGGATGCCCATCGCGGGCGAAGTGGGGGGGAGCGTGGGGGTAGGAGCAGCGGGAGCAGCAGGTGGGCAGCAGGCGGGCTCGGAGGGGATGCGGTCGTCGTCGACAACGCGCCTGGGGGCGGCGTTCCTGGCCTAACCACGCTAACCAGCAATGCGCCCAGCCCTGCCAAGCCGTACCGGTACGCCCAATCCGGCTAGCACGCCTTTTTCACAGGCACCGCCATCAAGAGTCCATCGCCTCGCATCATCAACCGCCAACGCTCCGGCTGCTGCGCCCATGAGAACTTGACCACGCCAATGGCCAAGATCCAGCCGGGCCTGGAACGCATTGCCGAGCTCCTGAAGAATGTCGACTTCCCGTGGAAGTCGATTCACGTGGCTGGCACCAATGGCAAAGGCTCCATCTGCCACCATGCCGCCTCCATAATCATCGGGAACACCGTCAAGGTCGGCAAATTCACCTCTCCGCACCTGGTCGATAGGTGCGTCTTTCCCTTCTTCTTTTTTCTTCGACTAACAAATCAGATGGGACTGCATCTCCATCAATGGGAAACCAGTCGAGGAAAAAAAGTTCCGCAAGGTGGAAAGCCACTTTCTCCAGATGAACGCGAGCCGCCAGATCGGTGCTTCGCCGTTCGAGATTCTAACCGCCACCGCCTTCACCATCTTCAACGACGCAAAGGTCAAGCTCGGCGTCGTCGAAGTGGGCATGGGCGGCAAGCTCGACTCGACCAGTATCCTCAACAATCAGACCGTGTCGGTCATCTCCAAGATTGCCCGGGATCACGAAGCCTTCCTGGGAAACACTCTCTCCGAAATTGCCGCCCACAAGGCCGGCATCCTGAGACCCAATGTCCCCTACCTTGTCACCTCTGCAAACGAGCCCAACGTTGTCAACGTCATCAACGACTACGCAGACGAGATCGGAGCCGGCCCCCGTCTCTCCACGGCTAGTTTTAATTTTGAGGACCGGCTCTACGACTCCATGAAATGGCAGCGCCTCACCAGGGCCATGGCGCCATTCCAGCAAGAAAATATGAAACTGGCCGCCGTTGCCGTCATGGAGACGTTCCAGAGCATGAAGAAAGACGTCAAACCCACGGATATTGCCAAGACGCTGTTGGCCAACATGAAGATTCGCCAGCCTGGCCGTCAAGAGATGGTTCAAGTTCCGCCAATCTTCAGAAACTACGGCGAGAGCAAGAGCTTGGTCCTGCTCGACGGGGCCCACAATCCCGACGCTGCCGAAGCACTGGACGAGTTTGTCCAATACAAGCTGCGCTTCGGGCAGACACCCGCCAAAGAGCGTCCAGCGTCAGGCTGGCCTGTCACGTGGGTGCTAGCAATGACCGAAGGCAAAGATGCGCACGAATACCTCGCCAAGCTGCTCAAGCCCGGCGACAAGGTCGTCACCACCGCCTTCGGCCCCGTCGATGGCATGCCCTGGGTCAAGCCCATGGACCCGCGCACGTTGCTCGACGTCGCCAAATCCGCCCAGCCAGAAATCACTGGAATACACATGCCTTTCCTGGGCGCACTGCGAGCGCTGAGTGCAGCAAAGTACTTGTCGGATCAAATGGCCGACTGGGCACCCATCGCCATAACCGGCAGTCTCTACCTCGTTGGCGACTTTCACCGCGAGATGCGGGAGCGGCCGCCCGGTAATTGGTGGGAGTCAAACGATGAGGCCATGAAAGCTGATAGACGGGCGCTGTTCAAGATGCAGGTTGAAGAACGCGAGCGTGTCGACGCCTTCCTGAGGGACGGTCTTAGCGGAGCGTCTCCCGAGCAGGAGGAACAGAAGAGATTGCAAGACGAGATCGACGCCGTCAACCGCGAGGTCCAGGGTCTGGAGATTGAAGAGCAACGCCTCGCAGGGCCCACAGCGGTGGACCTCTCTACCGATGGAGAACCACTGAGTGCACTAGAGCTCTTTAAGCGCGACGAGCAACGCTTCGCAGAAAAGTACGCGACGCCGCAGCAGATAGCGGCCGCAATCGCAAAGGCTGAGAAGGCGGAAGCGGATCTCGCCGCCCGTGATGCGGGCCTACGACTTGCCGCTGAAGCCCGCGCCAAGAAGGCAGAGAGGCGCGCCCAGTTGAAGGAGCGCGCCGAAAAGCGTGCAGAGCGCCGCAGAGCAGAAAAAGAGGCGAAGAGACACAAGGAGGGAATAGTGTCCTTCACGCCAGAAAGAGGCTTGCAGACTGTCAAGTTCTTCAAAAAAGCCCACGAAGACCGCATCCCGCTCAAGCAGCAGACAGACCACCCCTTCCAGCCCATCTGGCGACCCTTCCAGCCCTCCTCTACGCAAGCCGAGCCCGGTGTCGCCTCCCCAAGCCGCCCCCCAGCGCCCCAAGACACACCCGCCGACACCCAATCCCCCAAGCTCCACATGCACTACGCCCACCACCCCGAACCCGGGCGCTCCAAGACCCCCCAGTTCCCCCACGACCGCCGCACCCGCGCCTGGTCTGCGCCCCGCGCAAGAGAGCACCCGGGGTATAAACACCCGGGCCGCCCCAGCGTTGTTAATTATCGTGAGCATGAGTATGGGATGAGGACGGGCGGGCGGGGAAGCACGGGTGGGCGGGAGAGCGGGGGGGAGGGGGTGAGTAGGCGGGTGTAGAGGGGTGGAGGTGGGTGTGTGTGTTAAGGGGGGGGGTTGTATAATAGTCAGCTAGCTGGATGTGCCCCGCGGGGGGGGGGCGTAAAAGATATAAAGACTCGTTTATGCGAGGCATATAATTACACATACCAATATACTCTTAGTTCTTATTATAGCACGGAACTAAGTATTTACATACAGAAAAGAAGAGAGGGAAGAAGAAAGGAAAAGAGAGAGGAAAGATATAAGGAAAAGAAAAGAAAAGAAAAGAGAAGACAGGAGTACTAACGTACCCCACGGGCGAGTCGGCCACTGTGCCAAGACCCCACCAAAATCTACTATCACGAACAGTAGAAACGTGATGAATCAACCACTAAACGAGCTACCAGCTTCAAAGGAGGCTCGATTACAGCTTGCGCTTCAGGCTATCAAACAAGACGCGACACTATCTCAGCGACGCGCGGCAGCTATCTACAACGTCTCTCGAACAACACTCGGCGATCGACGCGCTGGAAAGCA